TACACTTCTCTGTGATCACTTAGGTGAATCATGACATGCCAACTTATGTTGGCTCAAGACTTGATTGCGTCTGCGGCATAAAGGACTTGTGTTGATGCAGCTTGAGAACACTTAGGTGTGCCTTGTGTGTATCTACTTGGAAGACCTCAGTTACTTTTTCAGTATGTATGTATGTATGTATATGAGTGCAAATATATATATATATAGGGAACTGTGTGATGCATAGAAGGCCTTCTTGATCATTGCCTGAATCTTCGAGGCAAAGTCATCAATGGAATTGCTGGACTCAGATGCGTAGTCGAAGGAATAATGCCTCAGACATTCAAGGGACACCCGATATGCTCTCTCACTCAATTTGCAGCTTGGCTACTGCAGTTCCTTCGCCCGCTCTGAAGCGTTAATGCGCAAGAACTCAGCAAACTCCAGCGTCTCAGGAACAGCTGGGACACCGCCTTCCGATGATAAATGGCATGCGGAACATGCCGCTTGTGATGGTGTGACGGATAAATCGCAACCCTTTCCCCGCTGCCTTGCAGGGCCGCACTTGCTGCGTCCTTTTCGGAAAGATCAAAAGAAGCTCAAGGTTGCGATGTGAACAGACCCGGAGTCCTGGTTGGCAACATCCGAAGCCGACCTAGCAGGACTAATTCACAACTCACCATCAAGAGATCCGATCCAGAAAGAGTGTGGAAATCCTTTTGAAACGCGTGACAGGGCACACTCCTCCCAGCAAACGCTTGAGAAGCAGCTGAGAGGTTGCTGAAGAAAAAAGTTGACTGCGTCTGCGCTGGCGTGCCTGAACAGAATGTCTCTTCTTCAGCTTTGCAACGACAGGCCAAGCCACACTGGGTGCCTGCAATCGCTCCAGGCGGTAGAGCCTAGCACTCTCCTGACTCAGAGGCGACACAACCATGGACTTCCTTGTGGAGAGCACTCCGAAAGTCCTCGGCCATAATGAAAGCTGCTTCCGGCATGGCTTCCAGAAGCTCAAGTTCCTGAACGCGCTCGCTGTGAGTGCTGGGAGGCATGTTTGCTGCAATCAGTCCTGCTGCAGCGTGCTGTCCCCTTGAAGCAGAGACAGACTTTCAGTGCCTTTCTGCGTCAAGACCGACTTCTGCACCTGCTGCCAGCCAGCATTCTCAGACATTTTCAAGGAGGTTTCAGTGACCTGGGTGATCCATGCCGTCGCCATCTTGATACAGGCGGGCTGGTCCTTCAGGTCGTAGCCTTGAGACACGCCCATGCTCTGCGGAGCTCTGCAAAGCTCTGCAGACTGTAAACACTGTTCGTGCACAAGAACTTAAAGCCTGCCTTGAGACTGCCACCATGACGAATTGCCCAACAGGTCAATGGTGCTGAGCATTGCCTGATTGAAGGCAGTGATCTTGTGTTTGCTACGTGCGGTGATCCTGCCACCTCCGAATGCAGCTTGTACACCTCCTGAGTCGAACATCGATGTGCAAGACATACTACTCCGGGAGAAGCAAATTCAGCAAGGCATCTGTTGTCAGCAGAAGGCCGGTGTCAGCACCTGTTTTTTCAGGCACAGATAAGACGCGAGTCCATGGAAACCATCAAAGCCGCATCAAAACCCCTGGGCGTCTGCGCTGGTGAACACAGCTGCGTTTGGATCCTTGCTAGAAAGGCACATCCTCAGCAGCAAGACGGCGCATGCGGTGACATGAGAGTTTGCCATGAAGTGGAAAGAGAATATTGCATGCAGACATGCACATGAAACACATGCCATTCTGAGGGAGCGTCTCAACAAAGACCGTCCCAGTAAAATCCAACGGAAGGCTGCCATTTCCCAGTCGGTCAGCAATCCAATCAACCTTCGTCATGTTCTTTGCGCATACCTCAGCGAGGGTCTTCCACAAAGGATACTCCTGTGACATTCCAGACGCAACCAACCAACAGCTGTCTCTGTACGAGCTTCCAAAAAAATCAATGGAGAATAATGCAGCATAGCAAATGAGTACACCACCTCGAAAGGGCCTCCAGTATGTCTGCACAGCCGAGGCACCAGCTTTACGTAGTTGGCAACACTGTGCGCAACGTCGTCCCGTAAGCGAGCCTCACCAACATCGCCGGCAATTTCTGCCAAGCGCTTGGCATATTTCCTTGCAAGGAAGGGGAAAGCCCGAAAGCAAGTCGGAAACAGAAGGAACAACTCTGCTTCACAAACGGCAGAGCTCCTCAAAAGCTCAAGCAACCTTTTGAGAGCATTTTGGTCGACCCCGCCTGAGGATGACCGACAAGGAGCCGGGGATGCTGGGATCGTTCACAAGCTTCTCAAACTCCTCAATTTGAAGCTTTGGGTATGTTATTCTAGGGTTAAATAGGGATAATGGAAAAGAAAATGGAAACTACAAAAGGGTTATATAGGGATATATGATATCTCAGCTTGAAAGTCTGAAAGCATGCATGCTTTCATGCTTTGGCTTCTCTGAAGGCACTTCCATTCTTGCTATTGTGTTCAAAGATGTTCCCAGCAAGGGGTCCCTGGGGCCGATCTCCCCATCACCCGATGCGTCATACTTCTTGATGAGGGCTTCTGCTTTGTTGCCTCCAAACTGAATGCGTCTCACATGCAAGGTGGAGGACATGCAGCGCGCCTTGAAGAGCAGAGATCGCAAACCAGTTTCCTACATTCTTGAGCTCCTGGAGGGCAACGTCTTAAATCAAACAACAAACACCTGAAAGATGGTGCAGCAAACCACCCGCCGTCGAAGAGACTTCGCCAGAATCATCGTCATCAAAGATGGGCCAGGTCTGCTCTATCATCAAGTCCTATGCTTGGGGGCAGCTTTTCTAAGGGAAGTATAATTTGGTATAACGTTAGCTGTAAAAGTCCTTCCTTCTGCCCTCCAAGCATCCGAGTTGTTGCCGCCACCATTCAGTTGCGCCATGACTTGGTCAAACATCTTCTGGGCCTTGTCCAAAGTGGAACTGAAGTCCTCCAAGCCTGTCATGCTGTGCGACATGCTCAGAAGTGTCTTCAATTCAGCTCCTGAAGTCGCAGGAGAAATGACCACAAAAGGAACGTGCCTTTTGTGACTTTGTCTCCGAATTGCAAGATCCATTTGCCAACCTGGTCGACACAGCCAGCACCCCCGAATGGCATCATTTCTCTAGGCCAAGCACTTGCTCTAAGGCTGGCTTGATCTTCTCCAGCAAGGTGTGCAAGCCTTTCTCCACTTCCTCCATGACAAAATCCATGACCTGTACTGTGACAGTGAGGAGGGCTGTTGTGGTGAAAGGCACTTGTCCCACTCATACATGAATCCAGCATATGCCTGATGTATTGCAGAAATGACGACCGGCACCAACGCCTCCACATGCGACCTGGGCTACTTCTAGCACTTCCATATGCTTTCTGCTTCAAAGTGCCCTTCACCGCACACCAGCTCATCACATCCGAATTCATATGTTCAGGCGATGCTCTCAGTGGGATGAAAGGGGTCAGGTTGGATACGCAGTCAAAGCTCACGCGAAACACTTACAGCAGTCTGCCGCTGACGGGTCTCCAAAGGTTGACATCATGACTGCATGTCTGTTTGGCTGCAGCTTGTTCATTTGCTTATCTCTGACAACTGATCCTTTTGTTCTGATTGCTCTTGGTAGTGGCTGTGACTTGTTTGTTCTTTTGCTTTGGTTCTGAAGCTCGAGATGGGTTGCCAGATATGCTATTCAGATGCGACTGCTTTGTTGTGCTTGGTTTTTGATAATCCCGCTTCTGTAACACTCCCCTCATCTCTCTCCTCTCATCATTCAATACCACGGAGGAAACAGGAAACTGGTGAAGGAGATGATGTTAAGGCCAACCCTCGCATGAAGGCAAGAGGAGACTGACGGTCTCATCATGTGAGATCACGAAGGCAAGAAGAAGGCAGTTAGGGACATATGCTGCAAAGCCAGCTCTGCAAACAGTAAAAAAAGCTCAGCCATGTCCAGAAAGGCTGTTCGTTTGTGAATCTGCCTAGGGGTCGTACTCCTCCAACTGACCAGTTCGGCACGACGGCACTTCACAAACCAAAACCAAAATACGTGTACGTGACCGTATGTGGTGTTGGACATTGAAGGCATCTTGCTAGCCTGAAAGCAGACAACTGGCAAGCATCACCGACTGCTGTCTGCATCCTCTGCATCCCAGCTGCGAGTTCTTTCCATGAACCTCCTGCAGAAGGACCAGGCCACGCTCTGGCCCGTGTTGCTGCAACAGCGATAATTCCGGATGCTTTGCGATGGCCTGATCACAAACAGAATAAAGAGTATTCTTTGGGCCCAGAACTACGGCTATGTGGCTGCCCGCTCAGGTGGGCGCTGCGTCCGTTTCGTTGCCCACCTCACGTGGCTCGCTACGAGGCTCGCTTTGCTTTGCTGACGTTACGCTTGAATGGTCCGGGCCATGGAAAGGACGACGTCCAATTGTCCCTGTGCATCTAGCACGTGCTCCAGACTGCCAAGCAGAAGTGAGGAGACCTCGACAATCTGATTTCTAACACATACCGTCAAGCAGGACTTAGAATGAAGACGCTTTAGGTTTTTCAGGAGCTTGAGGCCACTGTAAGAACGACACATTGTTCATCTTCTGGTCGATTTCCTTGCATTTCATCATGTTTCACCACATGCATGCAGGATGGACCAGGAAAAACCGCACACTGAACAAGCATTGTCAAGGAAGTAGAATTCCAAGCGTCTGTTTGAAGTGCACTTGCAATTCCTGTTCCAACATTGGACCAGCCTGCACAACCAAGTGCAGCATGCAGCTGCGCACATGCTTTTGCACCCCGTGGTCATGTGGCACCTCGAGTTGACTGGCCAATCTCACGCAGTGCATCTGCTGTCCATTTGTTGCCGATCAATACTACTGCCTTTCGACGCAATCGAGATGGCCCAACTGCGGCACAGACATGCACAAAAATGCTTCTGAGTGGACCGCATTGAACAAAACGGTGCTGACCTTCACAAGCTGGGATCGCAAGCGGACACCCTCAGGTCTTGCAAGCCAGGCGACAACCAAGAACACAGTGCACCAGGGAGTGGATGTTGAGGTTAAAGAACCTGCCATAACCTCAGGCACTGGACAAGAGCTGCCCATGATCTCTGACTGCAGACCCTAGTGCTCTCCTCACTAGTCGAAGTCCGACTCTTGTTGGCAAGTTGCGTGGACGGGATACGGTTAACGGGAATATCTACACCCTTGATAGGTGATGCCCACCTGAGCCAGGTGGCTGCAGAGCCGCATGCGATTATCCTTTTCAGGCGCTCATGCTCTGGAAGCTCACCGTTAGGGTGGAGAAGTCACTGCATCTGTGTGTAGTCCTTGCACCAATTAAGCAAGAAATTGTTTCTGAAAACCCAACCCGACAGATACTCTCATATAGGCAAGCTACTGGACCTACACCAAGCATCGGCACAGAACTCATTTTCGACAACACGCCGCCAAAGTCCAGCCACTTGAGACTGACATTGCCAGGAAACAGAACTACTTCTTCATTCATAGGGATGCTCCAAAGCCGACCTCATTCGTAAAAAAGAGTTGGTGGATCATTCATGGCCCTACATAGCCTGTACTCAGCAAGCAAAAAAAGCTTCAGTCCACAAAAACCAACGCCTTGCTCAGCAAAAAGCGTCTTGGCATTTGCAGGAGCCGCTCCAAATACACAAGAAAAGGAAACATGAGAGGACATAGCATGCGCTTGGCATTGTGAACCATGCCCCTGCATCTCTAAATTGTGCACACGCTAACTAGCTGGCAGGGGAGTTGTTAGCATCACAGGTGGCATTCTTTGAGCCAAATGTCTTGTCAGCGGCCCCCCACTTCAATGACACATAGTCTCGCTGGGTCGCACTAGAAAACTTGAGCTGCAGGATTTACCCACACATGCAACGTCTCGAAATTCTTCCCCACATTCTTGATGAACACTTTTCAGAGTGGTAGGTGACTGGTTGACAACCGAAGCATTAGGCGCTGCAGGGCTGCGTCCTCGTCGCAAGCCACGACACAACACGGCGTCTTGAAGCAGGTGGCTGGGCGCAAGATGGTTCCTGCGCGCTCGCTGGGGACGTTGCGCATGTCTCGACCAAAAAAGGCGGCAAGGAACTTACTGGCAATCCTGTTTTCAAGGTGAACTAGCTGCTCACGAAGCTGTGGCACTCAGCCGCTGCAAGTTGAACAAAGTATCTCATGCCAAATTGCGACGCAGAGCCGTTGATTGTAGGTGTCGATCACGCTTTTGAATTTTTTTTTGCGCTGGCTCCCGAAGTGCAAATCGCCTGCTGGAATCAGCTCTCAAAGCGCTAGACGTAAACGAGGTTCAATGGAGCCCAAGATGTTGGAGCACTCTACGAGCACAAGGCTGCATGGGCCTCAAAGACGACGCCACATCTTGGCACACGCAAGGCCTAATAGCTGCAGCACGCAGCTCCTGCCAAAAGTTTCGCTAAGCAGAGGGGTCGGCGTAAACGAAAAAACATGAAACATACCAAACACACGAAACTAAGAAG